GGGTAGAAGGACAAAGATTACATAGGAAAGTAAGAATTTCAGACATGGGGGAGTAGGCAAGATATAATGGTCACAGGTTACACAAAATGTGGGCTGCAGGGTCACAAAGGGTGGGCACCTTGGGACTGCATTGTTTTGGCAACAAGGTTGCCTAATCATATCTAATAAAAGAGAAACATGGTAATTAGCGTACGACCGCTCTACCCTTCTGACTGGCTAATCAGGGTGATATGCAAATTAACTGCCAGCCAAGATGGCGGCTGGCAGCCAGGCAGCTTGAAACTAACATGAGGTTTGCTTGCTTCAGTTACGGAGGAAACCAACATTCCCCGCCTGCCTTGCCTGCCTCTGAGCTTGCAGTTTCAAACATAGTTACAAATATAGAAGCTAAACAAACCCCCAGAAACCTGCTTTCAGCGAGCCGGGATCTCAGAGCTGGAGTTGATACAGTGTTTCGATTATAGAACACAAACAAACCAGATAACTGCTTTCAGCAGCAGAGGCCTCAGAGCTGGAGTCAGAGCTAAAGCTGGCCCAGAATAAAAAAAAAAAGAAAAAAGGAACAGTGGGAGCTTCAGTCACCTTCCAGCCTAAAAACAGCCCGCAGCCCCTAACCCAGACTGGCCAGGCACCCCAGTGGGGACCCCCACCCTGATCCAGGACACCCTTCAGGGCAAACCAGCTGGTCCCCACCCATGCACCAGGCTTCTATCCTATATAGTAAAAGGGTAATATGCCTCCCAGCACCAGGATCAGCGGAGCTGAGAGGCCTCCCAGCACTGGGATCAGTGTGACAGGGGGCAGCGCCCAAAACCCCTGATCGCCCTGCGGCTCTGTGTGTGACAGGGGGTGGGGCCACAACCTCCCTATCCGCCCTGCCCTGTTCATGACAGGGGAAGGTGCCCCAATCACCTGATCAGCTCTGCTCTGTGTGTGATGGGGTAGAGCCATAACTTTCTCATCAGCCCTGCCCTGAGTGTGAGAGTGGCGGAGCCCCAACCACCTGATTGGCCCTGCTCTGTGCGTGACAGGGTATGGAGCCCCAACCCCCAGATGGGCCCTGCTCTGTGCATGACAGAGGGTGGTGCTGCAACCTCCCCATCGACCCTGCCTTGAGTGTGACAGGGGACACATCCTCCCGATGTGGCATCACAACCTCCCGATCCGCCCTGCTCTGTGCATGACAGGGCGTGGTGCCCCAACTCCCCAATCGTCCCTGCTCTGAGCCCAACCAGGGCCTGCACCTAGGGATTGTGCCTTCCCTCTGCCACCCGGGAGCAGGCCTAAGCCAGCAGGTCGTTATCTCCCGAGGGGTCCCAGGCTGTGAGAGGGCACAGGCCTGGCTGAGGGACCGCCCCGCCCCCCCAAGTGCACAAATTTTTGTGCACCGGGGCTTTAGTGCTATATAATAAAATCCCAGTGACTGAAATGGTGGAAGGACCAGAACAACTAGAGACCAGAACACCATGGCCCTTCACCCAGCTGGCCCTGCCCCTCAGGGAGTGGTTGGGGTGGGGACCCTAGGCAATGTGATAGGGTGCGAGTTTGATGGAGAAAAGTCGAAAAAACAGGGGGGGAAGGTCTTAAGGGTCTGTGGGGTTGGGGTGGTCGGCCTGGAGTAGGTGTGGCATGTGCTGGGGAAGGAAGAGGAAGGTCTGATTGGAAAATGGCTCAGCACAGTACCTTTCTCATTGCAAACACGACGGTGCCAGCCGTGGACTGAATAGGCGGTTGTTTCATGAGTGCGTTTGGGACCGACATGCTCATGGTAGCAGTAGTTCTCTGGAAACTTCACTGATTCCAAATAGTAAACAGCTATCAACGTCAAAGAACAGAAAAATCCTCTCCAACTAGAGGCCCTGGCCATTGCAACACGACTGAAGGAAACACCACTTAAGGAGGAGCTAGGAAAACCTGAAGTATGCGACCAGAGGATTGTGGGATTGTGGAGGACACCTGGTGCCTACTGCTAGAAGTGAGCCTGTTATTGCGCATGTACATAGTCAACCCTATAGTCCTTAGTCTCACAGTATTTTGGACGTGACTTCTGGAGGGCAATTATTTTGATTGAGATTTGTTGTTCCTTTGAGCGAGGAAGATCAGAATTAAAGGTTGTTTGTTGCCTTGGTTTGAAGTGGAGGAAAATGGGATAGTGATGAATAAGAAACTTTGCAGATAGTGGAGGGCAGTTTTTCCAGACTGTTGGGAGCTCAGAATTAGAGTTTAATTGGGATAAAATTCCTGCTAACAGCACCTGATGCCTGAAATCTGAGCACTCTACTTTTAGGTTTTCCAGTTCAAGTTTTTGGAGACTGCCTATTAAAACATTCCTGGTTGGGAAGTGCAGAATACCATGGCCCCTCGCCCAGGCTGGCCCCACCACCCAGGGAGCAGTTAGGGGTGATCAGGCAGGTAGGCAGAGGGGTTAAGGGTGATCAGGCAGGCAATCAAGTGGTTAGGGGTGATGAGGCAGGCAGGCAGAGGCATTAGGGGCAATCAGAGGCATTAGGGGCAATCAGGCAGGCAGGCAAGTGATTGGGGGCCACCGGACAGGTAGGCAAACAGTTAGGAGCCAGTGGTTCTGGAATGCGAGAGGGATGTCTGATTGCCGGTTTAGGCCCGATCAGCAGATCAGACTTAAACCGGCAGTTGGACATCCTCCGAAAGGTCTCAGATTGGGAGAGTGTGTAGGTCCGGCTGAGAGGACCCCCTCTGGCCCCACCTTCTTTGCACTGGACCTCTAGTCTTTCCATACTGATAGGCAGTTCTCTGACCAGATTCTGAAGTTAACCCCCATGTCCCAGGGCTTACAAATCCCAACCAAGTTAAAATGTGCTTTTTCTAATCAGAACAGAACAATCATGGTTAACAAAGCATGATTAATATTTCTTACAACTATAGCTCATCCCCACTATTCTATCTCTGCCCCTAACAGTTTCAAAAACCCTTCTGTTTAAAGTCTGAATAGGTCTGGGGGAGGGAGAGTGTGAAAGCACCCATTTGTGTTGAAGTTAGCCATTAGCAGTGGAGGCAAGTAGAATGGAGCAACAATGTTACTGGACTAAAGGGTTCTACTTATGTACATCAGAGCCCAGTAAGACATGAACAGGAGTTTGCAGCAAAGAAAGTAAGGGTTTATTTTTAGGAAGTGGCCCATGCCAGGACTCACAGGTGAGCTAGTGTTCAAAGCTCTAGCTCCCCAAAGGTTTCCAGGGGATGGGTTATATGGAGGAAAATTCATTAATCTTGGTTGACGAGGAAACTGGTCTTGCAGAACTGCCATGGAACTGTGAACAATGCACTGCCCTGGAGGGTGGGGATAGTTGTTATGCTGGTGCCAGGACAGACCATCGGATGTGGCCTGACACCTGGGGGCCTTCCTGGAGGGCCACGATGGGGGCAGGGGGCCTATCTGCAAGGCAAAGACCCCAGCAGGATATATATATAGAAAAGCTCTGTGCATGTTTCTTCACTCTGATTTGGAAATTATTCCCGGAGTCCACTAGTGTTAATAAATGGGGTCCCTCCCTTTCTCTAGGAAGCATGCTTGGTATTTCTCTGGTCTTCTGTAACAGGTGACTAAGGGAGTTAGGGTGTGGTCAGGGTTGTGGTCTAAGGTAGGGGTAGTTGATCACTTGCTCTGGTCCCGATGTCAGCCATGGCGTCACCTTGTCTGGTTTTGTAACCTTTCTGGGCCTGGAGCTGAAACACAACTGCGACCAGATGTTATCCCTAGTTTGATGGAAACGCCATCTCTGGGGTCAACAGACTTGAGGCTTTGCTTCTAAGATTATCTGATGCTTGACCAGAACCTGGTTGTCCTGAGGGCTTAATGAGTAAGGGAGTGGTCCTACAAGAGAGATGGAGGCAGGTGAGTCAGGGTCATTCAAACACCAGCGTGAATCAAAAGGAAAGAAAGAAGAAAAGGTCATATTAAAGAAACAAAGTTTCTACATAGTTACAATAAGGCTCCACCTAACCAGTGTTTTTAATGTGGAATATAGTTAACTATACAGTTAAACGCTTTCACTGATAACTATAAGCAAAGATGTTTCTTGGCTACAACTGTGTAGAGACACTGCTGGTATTCTGCCTGGATCCTGGGATCCCTTTCCTGTGCAGTGCTGCTTCTGCATGTTCTGCTCCTTCTTCAGAACATTCAGTGTTGGGCTGCAGGAATCACTTAGCCAGGTGGCAGGGCAAACGGTGGTGTAATTGATGCTCCCTTGCTCTCTGTATGATCAGGCTGAGCTACAGTTAGTTCATTGAAATGCAACTTGCTTGGCTTTTTCTCCACTGCCTCTCTGTACCTCCTGGGAAAACTGCCTTAATAAGTTAATTGCATATGACTCTTTCTTGTATGTGTTGCTTCTGGGGAAACTGAGTTAAGATAACCCATACTTGTAATATGTTAGGAAGTAGTGAAATATATTCTCATAGGAACACAAGTACTATATTGTGGAGAGTATTAATTGTAGATTTGAGAACGTAATGGAGCAATGGAGTTTGGATCCATCAGTCACTTGGTTTCATAGCTCTGCAACAATTCTACATTGTTTTTTCAGTCCTTTTTCCATGACTGCTCTGTCACTGAAATACCTTAATCTATATCCCAATCTTGCAGTCAGCACCACAGATTAGCACTTACCTTGATGCTTGGCGATGTGCAACACAGAACCTTAGAAGGAGCCTGCACCTTTTCAAGTAACTTCTTTTTATATAAAAAGAAACAAGAAATGTTAGCTTCTTGCCATTATGTACTTACTTTTGTATTTGATAATCCTTGCATATTGCAGCACTGTTGTTGCTGGCTTATTACGGAAAATTTAATAGTATTTAATTAAAATCCGGAAATGTGCTTTCAATTCTATTACTGGTGTGTGTGTATCTATGTGTGTGTGTGTGTGTGTGAGCATGTATCTGTGGGGGGGGGGAGGGCTTATTCTTACTATTTGCATTATACTGAAAACTTAATCTTCTTGCATAGTGGTTCTGTGCTTTTAAGAGGATTACATTATTAATTGTTTAATTATTCATTATGCTGCACTTTTTCATTCAGAACAAAAGCTTTTTTTAAAATTAATTTAACATTTTATCCTTCTCAGCAGCCATTCTTTGCACTGGGCTCTCTGTTCTTTCATGATAGGGTGTCGCAGCAAAGAATCTAGAGGATGCCTTCTTGAAAGCTAAGCCTGTAGTTGCAGCAAATAGATCTTTTGCCAGAACAATGACTCAACACACCACCAGGCAACTGAGTCTTGCTGCACTCCAGAGACTGGTTAGGAACAGGTCACCTGCGGGGGCATCGTTAATCACAATTGTAGGAGTGACCATCAGTTTCTTGACCTCCCTGAGATAGGCAAGGAGGTCAGCGCTTCCAGCAGTTCTTCCTCCAGGCAAGGAAAACTATTGGGGGGATTTCCTTTCTGTTATTGCTGGCATTTTTATTTAATCCTATCATTTCTCCTCAGTCTGGGCAGAAGTACAAAAGCTTCCAGCAGGCACAGTCTGTCCTTTTCTGTTTTTCTCTTTGCCAAAAGTAACCTTGGCTATTTATTGATGGGTTAGGAAAAAAAATACTACTACACCCCTTTTCCTCAACTGTGTTTCTCTCATCCTTCCTCCCTTCTTCTGCTCTCTCTTCTCTCCCCTTCGCGTTTGTGTTGGGGTTTAAAGGTCAGTAGGGAAAAAAGAGCCACCCCTAAGGAGCCTGATGATAGTAGTCCAGTCAGTTCCTCGGTGCTGATGGGAGGGAAGGTTTACGAAGCAGCCTTTCCACGCGTGACGGTGCATACGCTGCTCCAACAGCGGCCAGCTTGGCAGCGGCTGGGCTGCTGGAAGCTGGGAGCCAGCTGGTGCTGCTATCAGAGCTCTTCACCACCCGTGAATTTCATCCCAGCACCTTAGTGGGACCTTCATAAGGGAAAAACACAAAGAAAAAAAAAGAATTTAAGGACTTTGGTTTGTATATTCATACATTAAAACATATTTGATTTCATACAGAGAATGACCATGATATTATATTTAAAAAAAGACAGATGTTAAATTGCCCAGTAAATGTGTGAAAGGAAATTTAAATACTCATTGTGTTTGTATGAAGGCAAAGCCCTGAACTTATGATGACAGGAAAATAATTTATTTAAAATACTTTTATTTTTTTCTGAGGGTGAATAAAAGTAGAGTGAACTCTTCTCTCTCCCCCGCCCCAACCCCCCAAAGGATCTTTATTTATTTATTTTTTTTAAAAATATATTTTATTGATTTTTTATAGAGAGTAATTGAACCCGGGACCTTTCAGTCCGCAGGCTGACACTCTATCCATTGAGCCAAACCGGTTTCGGCTGGATCTTTAAAGAGAATGAATTGAATTTCAGGATTCCTTACATAAACATATTTATTTTTCATTGGAAGGGGCAGAATTTTGTAGGAGAATGGCATTAGTGTGAGGTGGGATGAAAAGGAGGATGAAACATAAAAACTATGTATAGAAAACATCAATATATTTGAGCCTTGACCTCCAATTGTTCATGTCAATTTTAACATGCTTTGTGGACCACATTAATTATGCTTACTTTCCTATTTCTGTCTTGCTTATATGTTTGTGCACCTTGAAGAGGAATTTTTCATATTATCTGGCTTCCTTTACCTTCTTTTGCTTCATTTGAAAATCATTTTATAGACTAAGGGAGGGACTTTAAAAAGCATCTTCCTTATGATAGTATGTTCTGCTTTCCCTAACAATGACTTAGACGTTGTCACCATTTACTGCACCAACTAAAGAAAATAAAACAGAACAAAACTGAGAATTTTTGTAGTATAGAAATTCTGAATAAATATGAAATAAAATAGGCATATTGTAGTACAAAATGCATCTCTTTAAATAAGAGAACCGTTATCCCACTTTAAATTTATCATCATTTAGACTTGCAAAGTTAATGGGTAGAAGATAAATGTTCCTAAGCATCAAAGAAATCTCAAGTGTCAGATTTGATTTTAGCACATCGAGTCATCTTTCTCTAAAGAAAGACCTTCTCAACCTTCGGTGCTGCTTAGAATGAGACAAGGCTATTTGGTAATTTTCATTTCAATGTTCTGGAAATCAGACAGTGTTCCTTTAACTGGAATCATGATACAACTGAATAAAGATTCAACTTATATCCCTAAGATTGGAATTCCTAACTCCAAATATGTATGTGACCTTAATAGCAAAATTTTGTTTTGGTATACATAGGTAGCATTTCTGCTAAGTAGACAGACATCAGTAACATAGTTGCTTAAAATAATTTAGTGACTTTTTTAATTTTTTTTATTATAAAGGGTATTACATATGTGCCCATTTTCCCCCCCGCCCTAGACAGTCCCCTAGCCTCCCCTATCCCCCAGTGTCTTATGTTCATTGGTTATGCTTATATGCATGCATACAAGTCCTTTGGTTGATCTCTTACCCCCCTACCTCCTGCCCCCCAACCCTCCCCGGCCTTCCCGTTGCAGTTTGACAATCTGTTTGAGGCAGCTCTGCCTCTGTATCTATAATTGTTCAAAAGTTTATAAAGGTTGACTTTAAAAGTTTTAAGAGATTTTAAAAGTCTCTAAAAGACGTGAATTTCAGAAAAGGCCCGGAAAGCCTACAAAAACCATATGGCACATCTAAAACCTCAATTCTGTCAATGTAAGAAAAGTCCAAACCTGTAAAGATTTTTATGAGTTTATTTGATTAAAAAAGGATCAAAAACAAAAAGTACAACAAAAGAGAAAAAAATGCGTTTAT